TTCTAGGAATATGTCCATTTCCTCCAGGTTGTCTAGTTTGTTGGCGTAGAGTTCCTATCAGTACAACAAAATAGCATACATATCAAATTGCATATATATCAACATATGTGTAACTCCATCTATTGAAAAAAATCCGCATTATTAACTAGTACAGCTAGTATTTAGCTCAGCCAACTCCCTTGTCAAATAGTTCTGTCCTCTTGCACTTTATCTTCGCTCTGATATTATAAAGGCCATCACCTTTTATATGTTGTGTTTTGTTTTCTGTTTTAGAATGTGATTTTTATTGTCAACTAGAGGCCCGGTGCACAAATTCATGCATCGGTGGGGTCCCTCAGCCTGGCCTGTGCCCTCTCGCAATCCGGGACCGCTTGGGAGGTGTAGTAGTGTGTGAAGCAGCAGGCAGCTGGGGAGGAGCCTGAGCCCCAGAAGGGCGCTGCTACTGCTCATCCTGGCCCTGCTGCACCTGTCACCACTCTTGGCTGCTTGGTAGTCTGGCGCCTGTTGCTCAGCTGGGCAGTAGTCTCACTGTGAGAGCACACTGACCACCAGGGGGCAGCTTCTGAGTGATTTGTTCTAAAACGAAATCATTTTTTCCCCCCGCTAGAAGTAATGTAAATTGAATTAACCCATTGCAGACCCCCAAATGATTCCGTGTTTAGTCCGTGATTGTTCTGTGAGCATTTTCACACCCTTAGCAACATCAGCAGTCTTGATGGCCTCTTTATGTTTTAAAATTGTGATAATTCTCGTTTCACCATGTCATAGTTGGTAGCTAGATCAGCCGCGCAAACACTGCTACCATACTTTGTAATTCAAGTATTTCTCTGCCCAACCGAGCCATAACTGATTGATGCTGGTCCCACCGTTGAGAGAACACAAGTGGGAAAAATGGCAGGTATTGAGCCTGTAGTGAATGCAGCGTGGGATGGGAGCTTCCAGTTGGCACATTCTATAATTTTTTCTGCCTGCACTATCCCTGCAGATTGGGAGATATCAATGATAGTACAGTGGGGCCTTGACTTACGAGTGTCCCGACTAACGAGTTTTTTGAGATACCATCTGTCTCTTGGCCAATTTTTTTGCATTGAATTGATAGAGTAATTTGAGTTAATGAGCTCTTAACGAGCTCCTTAACGAACTCGGTCTTGGAACGAATTAAACTTGTAAGTCAAGGCCCCACGGTATTAGTCCAGCACATAAGGAAAAGATACCCCCTCCTCAGTGCACTGGACTGCTATTTGCTAGACAGTTGTGTGGTGACCAAGTGTGAACCAGTGCTCCTTAGAGTTGTTCTGAACAATGAGGTGGTTCAGAATTTCATCCTCTCATTCCAGTACACAGCAGAAGAAACTGGTTTTCAATCCTATTGTTATTTTAGTTTGGAACAAGTTATGTGTATTCAAAAGGTCCTTCTTAGAATAAGTTTAAAATAGGAGGTGAGGAGCTTGCATCATCATGGATGTTGTGTTTTTTGGTTTTGTGTTTTGTTGGTTTGTGAGAGGGACGTTTTTGTTGTTCTTGTTTTTAAGAGAGGGAGGTTTGAAGAATGTTTTCCTACTGCCTTCTCATCAGTTTGTAGGATTTTTTATGACCCTGTGATTTTAAGAGTTAACTCTCAGGAAGGTACAGTATACTTTTTTAGCAGGGGGGACTAACATAGGGAAAAGAACTTCCCAGATTTTATTTTAAAATGGATTTTATAGGGGGATAAAGACACATTTTTAATACCTTAATCAATAAAAAATGAAATAAAAAATAAATAAAAATAAAATGGATTTTATAGATTGAGAGTAAAAACCAAAAATCCAAAGTGGGGGAAAAAGAAGAAAACTTAATTTATGCAACAGATCCTGTAATACCTGGAGAGTCCAACTTTCTCCAGTGCTGATATTCTCTAAATAGCCTTGAAACATCCCTTGGACTTTATAAAGGTTTTAGATATGAGTACCAACATTTATAATGAAATTTATACCCTAAATAAATTGCTCAAAATTATAGTTTGTCTTACGATGCTTTTTATTTTTGAAAGGAATTGATTTAGCCCTGGGAGATAATAGTCATGTTTCTCCTTACATCCTGAAATACCCAAACCTATGTGTTAGCATGCTGAATTAATATTTGTATATGTGCTTTTCCTGTAATTGAACTTACGTTTTTGTAAAAGTGTATGATAACAATATTGGAAGGAAGAAAAGATTTGTATCCTGTGGTCCAATTTTATTTGACGTGTGAAAACTCTATCCATTGAGCCAAATGGGCTAGGGTGGTAAAGGCATTTTTTTAACCAGTCATGAACAGCTTAGATATTAGGAAGTATAAAAGCCAACATTTGTTTAAGGATTTGGAAATATACTGCATTTCTGTACAGATTACTTACTTTTGTTAATCTGTTAATAGACTATAAACATTTGTATAATAAATAATTCTCTAGCTAATAATGTTTATGCCCATGTTCAACTTCTTCCAGTTCTTCTAAAATATCATGCTCGCCTTGCTTGTGTAGTGTAGCTATTGAGTGTTGACCCAGGAACTGAGGTTGCTCTGTGTGCAGGAGGCAGCCAATTGATGATGTTCCTCTCTCATTGATGTTTCTATCTCTCTATCCCTCTCCCGTCCTCTCTCTCTAAAAATCAAACATTTTTAAAAAATAAAATATCGGAGAACCGAAGATGGCGGCATAGGTTAACACCAGAGATTGCTGCCTGGAACAACTAAGTCAAATTAAGCCAAGGTTACGGGTTAGATCCCCGGTCAGGGAACAAGAAGCAACCAATGAGTGCATTACTAAGTGGAACAACAAACTGGTTTTCTTTAGCTCTCTCTAAAATAAAAAAACATTTTTTTTCTCAAAATTACCCTGCTGCCCGGCCGTTGTGGCTCAGCTGTTAAGTGAAGACCCAGGAACTAAGAGGTCAGCAGTTCAGTTCCCAGTCAGGGCACATGCCAGGGCTGCAGGCTTGATCCCCAGTAGGGGGCGTGCAGGAGGCAGCCAATTGATGATGTTCCTCTCTCATTGATGTTTCTATCTCTCTATCCCTCTCCCGTCCTCTCTCTCTAAAAATCAAACATTTTTAAAAAATAAAATATCATGCTCTCTCTCTCTCCCTAGGACTTTGCCAGTGCTATGGTATTTACTGAGAAGACTCTTACCCATCCTGCTTCCCTATCCCATCATATACTTTCTATAAACTTACTAACAAAGCACTTAGGACATTCTAGTAGGAATTAATGTTCATCTTGTTTATTTCTGTTTTCTTATAGATACTTTATATAGATTTATTAAGTAAACATGAATAAAACATGAATAAAATGTTTAGGAAGTATTAATAAAATTTAGTTTTCTGATTACTTTTATACATATAGACTCATATAATTAAAACATGCCCCTCAAGTGATTTTTATTAGTAATTTAAGGGGAAAGAAAAGGAAAGACATGAATATATAAGTTCTAAGGGTACAGATCATTGTAGTATTACTGAGTGTTCCATATATGTTAGTATTCTGTTAGGCACTGCACGAAACACAAAAGAGGTACAAATCTAGCTGCTCAAAGAAGTCATTATCAAATCATGAGAAAGAATTGAGATTAGCCAAAAAGGAATTTTGAATCTGGAGGGGTTTGAGCAACTGAAATTTATGTTTCCCCATTTCATTTTTAATCAGCATTCATTGACCATCACCTGTGTGTCATGTTGAATAATCAATCAGTAGTGTGTGTGAAAGGGGAGTGGTGTGTCCAAGGAAGGATGTTGTCCTAGTTAGGGCAGCACCTTAAGGAAAACTATCTAGAGTGAGAGTATAATGTTGGATTTCACAGATAATACTCACATTCTTTTTTTTTTAAATCCTCACCCGAAGACATGCTCACTGATTTTTGTTTTGAAAGAGAGAGAAAGACATCAATTGGTTGCCTTTCCATAAACACCCCAACTGGAAATCGAACCTGCAACCTAGGTATGTGCCCTGACTGGGAATCGAACCAGCGACCTCTTGGTTCATGGGTCAGTGCTCAACCACTGAGCCATGCCGGCCAGGCTGACACCTGCTCTTTTATCCTGACTCTGCCATTTACTTTATAGCTTTTGTATCTAATGTAGTATCTATTGTCCAGTTATTGGGATGATTAATTAAATAATCTATGCGAAGTACTTAATTAGTACAGTGCATCACACATTGTAAGTGCTCAATGAAAGGTTAGCAATAAATATTTCAGTATTGTCTCTATCAGCATTTAGGTCAAGATCTAGGTTCCTTTGCAAAGACTACAGACTCCTACACTAACAATATTTGACCCATTCTTGTTCTTTTAGCACTTCCCACCCACAATGTAAATATATTTCTCAAAACAGTTATTTACCAGATATACCATATTTTATCTTTATGGAAACACAACCTGACGTGATCTGTTGCCTACCTATCTGATCTGATCTTCTGCCACACTGCTCCTTGAACACACCAAGTTTATTCCTGTCTTTACCTCTTGCTTAGTATGCTCTTCTTCCTGAGAGCCCCATATCTCAGTAGCTGTACCTCATTCAGTCTCCTTACTGTCACCTCTTTTTTAAAAATATATATATATTTCTTTATTGATTTCAGAGAGGAAGGGAGAGGGAGAGAGAGATAGAAATATCAATGATGTGAGAGAATTATTGATTGACTGCCTCCTGCATGTCCCTACTGGGGATCGAGCCCACAACCCGGGCATGTGCCCTTGGCCGGAATCAAACCTGGGACCCTTCAGTCTGCAGGCCGACGCTGTATCCACTGAGCCAAACTGGCCAGGGCGCTGACACCTCTTTAAAAAGGCCTTCCCTGACAACCCTGTCTGAAACATTACTCCTTATCAGTTTCTTATCCTGATTTGCATTTCTTCTTGGCTCTTCTCACCCTCTCGCATTATTTTACACATTTATTCATTAACTATAAGATTATTCTAGAAGGAGTTAAGTTGGGGAATAATACTGAAAGAAGTCTTACATTGCCTTTTTTTATTTTAGAAAAATGATGACTGTGGAAAGATGATGAAGAAGTTGTCTCTTCGTAAACAGCGCTTCATGCAATTTTCTTCACTGGAACACGAAGGAGAATATTACATGACACCACGAGACTTCCTCTTTTCAGTAATGTTTGAGCACATGGAACGTGAGTTGCTTTTAAAATTTTATTTTATTTTTATAGTTTAGAAAAACAAATATTGGGGTTGGAAAACCTCTGTTTTTCAAATTATTGATAGTTTTTTTTGTTTTAATTGTCATCAATCTTTGGGCAAAATGCATTTACTTATTGTTTAGCTGTTTCAATCTTTGTGACACAAGTAGTTAAACTTGTAAACATACATGTTTAAGAAATTTTTTTATATATGGGTTTTTCTAAAGAGAAAGAGGAAAAATAGTTAAGATTTTTTAATGTCACTAGATGAATTATTAATAAAATAATTTTATCCAGCATGTTCATTTTCATTGGTATTAATGTTTTAAATTGGGCAAAAAAATGAAACAGAGCAATTAAGAGGTTCATATAATGGAGTTATGATGCCATCAATTAAAAAAAAAATAAAACAACTGGAAAAATAGAATGAGAAACAAAAATCCAAAAGCTATAATTATATAATTTTTAGTTCATAAACTGCCAACTCTCAGTTACTTCAAATAATATCAGAAATTCATTTTATTATCTAAATTAGTCCTTTTTACTTTGCATAGAGTAGATATGGCCCCATCCTCAGGGCTTTATATTGCAGGAATGTTGTATGAAAATTTCTTGGCTTATGACACTTTTTGAAGTGTGCTAGAAGTACTGCTCTGAAAGAAGCTATATATGGAACAGAAACTGGGTAGGGCAAGTTGCGTGAAGATCTATTATTATCTAGAACAGCAGTTCTCAACCTGTGGGTCCCGACCCCTTTGGCAGTCGAACAACCCTTTCACAGGGGTCGCCTAAGACCATCCTGCATATCAGATATTTACATCATGATTCATAACAGTAGCAACTTTACAGTTATGAAGTAGCAACGAAAATAATTTTATGGTTGGGTCACAACGTGAGGAACTGTATTTAAAGGGCCAGAAGGTTGAGAACCACTGCTGTAGGTTGTTTAGTTATTTGGAGTAGAGTTGTTCATAGTATTTTTTTACTATCTTTTGTATTTCTGTGGGGTTTGTTGTTGTTTTGCCTCTTTCATTTCTGATTTTGTTTATTTGGGTCCTCTCTATTTGTTTCTTGGCGAGCCTGGCTAAAGGTTCATCAAACTTGTTTATCCTTTCAAAGAACCAGCTCTTGGTTTCATTGATCTTTTGTATTGTTTTTGGTCTCTATGTCATTTATTTCTGCTCTGATCTTTATTATCTCCTTTCTTCTGCTCATTCTGGGCTTTTCTTCTTGCTCTCTAATTCTTTAAGTTGTTGAGTTAGATAATTTATTACCAGTTTTTCTTGATTTTTTGTTTTTGGTGTTTTTTTTTCATAGGCCTGTAATGCTATGAACTTCCCTCTCAGGACTGCTTTCACTGTATACCATAGGTTTTGGATTGTTGTGTTTTCATTGTCATTCGTTTGCAGGATGTTTTTAATTCTTTGATCTTTTTGATATCCCAGTCATTTTTTCAATAGCATGCTATTCAGCTTCCAAGTGTTTGGATTTTTTTTATTGTTTTTATTGTAGTTTATTTCTAATATTATGCCATTGTAGTCTGAGGCGATGCTTGATATGATTTCAGTCTTCTTGAAGTTGGAGAGATTTTTGCCTGTGACCCAATATATGGTCTATCTTTGAAAATGTCCCATGTGCACTTGAGAAGAATGTATATTCTATAGCTTTGGGATGGAATGGTCTAAAGCTGTCAATTAAGTCCATTTGATATAGTAAGTCATTTAGGATTGCTGTTTCTTTGCTGATTTTTTTATCTAAAGGATTTATCGAGTGTTGTCAGTGGGGTATTAAAGTCCCCTACTATGATTGCATTGCTGTTGATATCTCCCTTGATATCATCCAGAATTTTTTTTTATGTATTTGGGTGTTCCTGCATTGGGTGCATATATGTTTACCAGAGTTATATCCTCTTCTTGTATCGATCCCTTTAGTATTATGAAGTGGCCTTCCTTATCTCTTGTTATGGCCTTCACTTTGAGGTCTATTTTGTCAGATATAAGTATTGCTACCCCAGCTTTTTTTAATTTCCATTTGCCTGAAAGATATTTTTCAACCCCTTCACTTTCAGTCTGTGTGAGACTCTTGTTCTGAAGTGGTTCTCTTATAGACAGCATATATATGGGTAATGTTTTTGTACATTCAGCCACTCGAGGTCTTTTGATTGGAGTATTTTTAGACCATTTTTGTTTAAAGTTATTACTGATAGATACTTGTTTTCAGTCATTTCTATTTTTGTGCCTGTTCTTTCTTATCTTCTTATTTCTTCTTTTTACAGCATTCCCTTTAGCATTTCTTGCATTGCTGGCTTGGTAGTGATAAACTACCTTAGGCTTTTTTTGTCTGTGAAGCTCCTGATTTCCCCTTAATTTTGAATGATAGCCTTGTTGGAGAGAGTATTCTTGGATTCAGTCCCTTGCTTTGCATTACTTTGTATACTCCCTTCCATTTCTTTCTGGCCTGATGTGTTTCTGTTGAGAAATAATTTGATACTCTAGTGAGAGATCCCTTGTAGGTAACTTTCTCTCTCTCTCGTGCAGCCTTTAAGATTCTCTCCTGTTGTTAACATTTGCCATTGTAATTACAATGTGTCTTAGTGTGGGTCTTTTTGGGTTCATCTTGTATGGGACTCTCTGTGCTTATCTGACTTTTTTCTTCCCCCAGTCAGGGATGTTTTCTGATATTATTTCTTCAAATAGGTTTCCTAACATTTCCTCTTCTTGTCTTTCTGGCACCCCTATTATACATATGTTGCTTCATTTCATGTTGTCCCAAAGCTCCCTCAGGTTCTCTTTCTGTCTTTTGATTTTTTTCTCCAATTACAGTTCAGATTGGGTGTGTTTTGCTTGCCTGTCTTCTAATTCGCTAATTTGGTCCTCTGCTTGTCCTACTCTACTGTTGAAAGTTACCATATTGTTTTTTATTGTAGGTAAAGGGTGTCCCAAAATTCACGCAAGAAGTAATTTTGATAGAAAACACAGGTTTATAATTAAAAATTGTAAATTTTTTATTGATTCATAATATTCAGTATAGGGTTATATATGGAATAGCACATCAGGTAAATGGCCTCCATGGCTTTGCTGGCACATACGCAAAACCGTGGTTTTCATTGGTCTTCATTGTCCTTGCTCCTGGGCCATAATTGGTACTTGGTAATGCTTATCAAATTGAAGGGATTGAAATCAAAGGGCAATAAACCAAGTAAAATTGGGCTTTTATTTATTTTTTGTTGTTGTTAATGCTCACGCAAAATTCAAATCTTGCGTGAATTTTGGGATACCCCTTATATTACTCTTTATTTCCTCCTGATTCTTACATAGGTTGTTGATTTTCTCATCCATCCAGTTTATGAAATGTATGACGCGAGCCGCAGTTTGCCAACCACTGGGCTAGGCTGTTCGCGCACGTGCAGTTGCGGTGCCCAGGGCTAAAGCGTGTGGCTGGTGGGAGGGAAGCGCTTCTGACATATTGCATGCCTATGTTTCATTTAGTTCCTTTGGGGGGGGGGTGTCATTCTTCCTTTTCTTTCCTTTGGGGGTTCTTCTGTCTCCCCATTTTTGCTCTCACCAAAGGATCTAGGTGTTGAGTTGCACAGGGCCTGTGGCTGCAGTGGTGGCCTTGGTGGCAGGTCACACAGTCATGGAAGGTGGCTGCTCCTCAAGCGATCACCGGTGGTGGCTGCTCCTCGCACGGTTGCAGGGCTGAAGCTCTTTGCACAGTCACAGGGCGGCTGTTCCTCACACAGTCATGGGCAGCGGCTGCTCCTTGGGGATGGGGGGGGAGGGGTCATG